AGGACAGGTAAAGATGAAACAGAATGTCAGAATATTGCTAATTGCAGAAGCTGGTGAATGAACATATGCAGATTCATTATATGTTCTCTACACTTTTGCACATGTCTGCAAGTTCCATAATAATACTGTTCATCTATAAAAAGTAATGAGCTATAAGTCCACTAACGAACACAACATGGATAAATCTCAAAAACATTATGCTGAATGAAAGAAGCCTGACGACAGAGTACATGATTGCCATTATAAGAAACTCTACAAAATGAAAAACTAATCTATATTAGTTTTACACCAGTGGTTACCTGGAGCCAAGGGTAGGAGGAGGACTGACTACAGAGGGGTCCAAGGAAAATGAGGGTGATGGAACATTTTACACCTTAATTGTAGTAGTGGCTGCATAGGTGTATGCATCAGTCAAAACATGTCAAACTACACACTTAAAATGGGCACACTTTATTATATGTAAATTATACCTCAATAAAGATAATTTTTCCTTTATTTTGTTATTGTTTTTTTCTAAGTATAATTTATTGTCAAGTTAGCTAACATACGGTGTATACAGTGTGTTCTTGGCTTCAGGAGTAGATTCCCATGATTCATTGCTTACATATAACACCCAGTGCTCATCACAACAAGTGTCCTCCTCAATGCCCATCACCCATTTTCCCCTCCCCATCATCAACCCTCAGTTTGTTCTCTGTATTTAAGAGTCCCCTATGGTTGGGGTGCCTGGGTGGCTCAGTTGGTTGAGCATCCAACTTTGGCTCAGGTCATGATCTCAGAGCTTGTGAGTTCGAGCCCCGCATCGGGCTCTGTGCTGACAGCTCAGAGCCTGGAGCCTGCTTCGCATTCTGTCTCTCCCTCTCTCTGCCCTCCCCCAGCTCACACTCTTGTCTCTCTCTCTCCCTCTCAAAAATAAATAAACATTATAAAAAAAAAAAAGAGTCTCTTATGGTTTGCCTCCCTCTCTGTTTGAAACTACCTTTTTCCCCTTCCCTTCCCCCATGATCTTTTGTTAAGTTTCTCAAATTCCACGTAGGAGTGAAAACATATATCTGTCTTTCTCTGACTGACTTATTGCACTTAGCGTAATGCCCTGCAGTCCCATCCACATTGTTGCAAATGGCAAGATTTCATTCTTTCTCATTACCAATTATATATAAACATCTTCTTTATCCATTCATCAGTTGACAGACATTTGGGCTCTAATAAAGATAATTTTTAAAATGTTCCATTATATGGGGGTGCCTGGGTAGCTCTGTCAGTTAAGCATCTGACTCTTGACTTCAGCTCAGATTGTGGTCCTAGGGTCATGGGATTGAGGGATCAAGCCCCATGTTGGGGCTCGCTTAAGATTCTCTCTCTCTCCCCCTCTGCCCCTCTCCTCTGCTTGTTCGCACTCTCTCTCTCAAAATAAAATAAATTAAAATTAACCCCCCCCCCAAGATTTCCAGTTTCTTTTGAGAAAATCAGAGCTCTGGAAATATAGGCCTATATTCCCACATGGCAACAACCACCTTGAGCTTAACTAGGACCCAGATTCTCCACTTTACCAGGACCCGCCACTCTGTTGTCGGCACCCAGTCTTCTTTAGTCATCTGATCTCTGTCTACCCCGGCAGAAACTATGACACCTGATATAAGGGCTTAGGAAAATAGAAATTTCAAAATTCTGAAAGGGACAAAACAAAAAACTAGAAACAAAATAACTAATAGGACAGGGGATAAATGGAACTGTACACAACAGTGAAAATACACAAACCACAGTGAATCTTAGAAACAGAACTGAGAATGGGGCGCCTGGGTGGCTCAGTCGGTTGAGCGCCGACTTCGGCTCAGGTCACGATCTCACGGTCAGTGAGTTCGAGCCCCGCATCGGGCCCCTGTGCTGACAGCTCAGAGCCTGGAGCCTGTTTCAGATTCTGTGTCTCCCTCTCTCTGACCCTCCCCCGTTCATGCTCCGTCTCTCTCTGTCTCAAAAATAAATAAACGTTAAAAAAAAAAATTTTTTTTTAAAAAAACAGAACTGAGAACAATGGTACTTAGTGAGTGTGATATGTGTTCCCTATTGTGATTATTCTAATGACTGAGTTTAAAAAAAGTAAGTAGGGGCGCCTGGGTGGCGCAGTCAGTTAAGCGTCCGACTTCAGCCAGGTCACAATCTCGCGGTCCGGGAGTTCGAGCCCCGCGTCAGGCTCTGGGCTGATGGCTCAGAGCCTGGAGCCTGTTTCCGATTCTGTGTCTCCCTCTCTCTGCCCCTCCCCCGTTCATGCTCTGTCTCTCTCTGTCCCAAAAATAAATAAACGTTGAAAAAAAAAAATAAAAAAAAAAAAAAGTAAGTAACAGAAAGCCAAGTAAAGCCAAAGCCAAATGGATACAGAGCTTCTGTATGAGTGATGAAAGTTTTGGAAATAGATAGTGGTGATGGTTGCACAGTGGTTGTACATATCACATTTTATTTTTTTTTTCAATATATGAAGTTTATTGTCAAATTGGTTTCCATACAACACCCAGTGCTCATCCCAAAAGGTGCCCTCCTCAATAGCCATCACCCACCCTCCCAACATATCACATTTTAAAAAACAAACCTTCCATACAAAATCACAGAAAATGTCCTGAAATTAGCTAAGGGATTTCTAAAAATCCTCCACATGAGTGTTCTAACTGTGTGCAGAAACAGTGTGTCTATAATTACTAATCATACCTAATTACTGAACTATATTTCTATTAAATCTCATAGTATGATGAGCTAATGGAGACAGTAATTGAGTCTCTACTGAAAAAATCTGTGATTGCTTGATTACAGTGAGACTACTTTCCCTCTGGAAGTTAGAGATGTAACATTTCAAAGAAAATTAGCAGGAAAAAAACCGTGGACTTCAATGTCTGTCAAGCTCAAATATATCTTGGTATTTTCTCTGGTTCTGAAATGTCGTAATATTATTCCCATGTTTATACTCCTCTTGTGCTATTTCAATTTATTCAGACTACAAGATTCTCAGCCTTTCATATTCCATTTTGCAAATTCGTTTCATAGTTTAGCGTCTTTCTCGAGTCTCAAATCAATTTTAAGAGTTTCAGTTAATACTGAACTATTATTAGTAAACTGTTAATTATATTACTACTACTTTATAGTTTCTTTTTTTTTTTTTTTAAGTTTATTTACTTCTAGAGAGAAAGGGAGAGTGGGGAAGGGGCAGAGAAAGAGAGGGAGAGAGAGAGAGGGAGAGGCAGAGAGAGAGAGAGAATCCCAAGCAGGCTCTGCACCACCAATGTAGAGCCCAATGCAGGGCTTGAACTCAACTCACGAACTGCAAGATCATAACCTGAACCGAAGTTGGATGCTTAACCGACTAAGCCATCCAGCAGCCCCTACTTTATAGTTTCTACACTAAAATATTTTGTTGCCTATTTATATTTGTATTTAGTGGTTAAGGCACACTACAGCACTTTGCAATAATTTCAGTTCTGGGTGCCACTGTATTTTGTTTCTGGCATAAAGAAAAAAGGTTTTCTGTTGCCTTCTTTCATGGAATCTTTTTTTGTATTCAACAGAATTTGGAGAATGAAAAAAGGAAAATTTTTAGTAAGTTTTTTTTTAATGTTTGTTTATTTTTGAGAGAGAGAGACAGAGCGTGACCAGGGGAGGGCAGAGAGAGAGAGGGAGACACAGAAGCTGAAGTAGGCTCCAGGCTCCAGTTGTCAGCACAGAGCCAGACACAGGGCTCGAACCCACAAACTGCGAGATCATGACCTGAGCCAAAGTCAGAGGTTTAACTGACTGAGCCACCCAGGGGCCCCCCAAAAAGACAATTTTTAAATGCATAGCAACAAATGGGAGATGTGGTAACGTATTATCTGTCCTGCTAATGTGATAATTAGTGGACAGAAAGCAAAAGTATGCATCCTGGGGCTGGCTGTGTCTCTTACCTTGCCATTGAGAACGATGTTCTGACTTCCACACAACACAGACTGGCGACTAACTTTGTTTCCAGATGCCTGAAAGGAAAGAGCAGAAAATAGGGGTGAGAAACTAAGTGGGTTCTGGGCTACAAGTTTCCATCTGGAAAGCTCTCGTATTGGAGAGAAAAGTACTTGAAATGTGATGTAGTCTTCAATGGAATGAGTCCGGCAAATTAACAAAGCAAGGATGGATTAGGAAACTGGAGACTCCAGGAATGGATCCAGAATTTGGATGTGGTAGTCTAGAGCCTACTAATATTAGAGACATTGATTCAAGTCTCAGTTCTATACTTACAGCCCTAAATCCAGGATAATGACTTTACCCATATCAGAGGTACAAGAATTCAGTAAAGAAATAATAATAGCAATGACGACTCAGCACTTACCCTACCTGGAGCAATTTACACGCATCATGTATTGACTCCAAAGAACCTAACAGTCTTTTAGCACATGGTAGCAAAGTACGACACATTAGCTTAAAACAAACAAAACAAAAAACAAAAAACTCTGAAAGGCCCGAAGCCTGGAATTGCCATTAGTATTAGGGTGGATGAGACGTATCCTGCTTTCTGGAAGGCATTTTATCTCTACGATGAAATCATGAATAAATTTAAAAAGCCTAAACTGGCCATGCAGGGAATAAGTAACAAAGCTGAGCCATTCACGAAGTGATCCTATGTAATCTCGGACTAAACGCCAAAGCGACCCGGGGTGGGGCAGGAGGGGGGCACCAGCCTCAAAGGGACGCAGGCTTGGAAACGGGAGAAAGATGCCTGGACAAGCGCACCGTCTCGATGTACTCCGACTTGTTATAAAGCAGCTCGCCCAACTCCATTGCCACCAACTTCTTTCCGCAGCTCCCGCTCCTGTCAAAGCCGCCAGCCGGTCAGTCTGACTGGGATTCGGACTACTTCCGGCCGCTCCTCCACTTCCGCCCTGGGCGTCCGGCGCTCTCATCCGCAGCTCGGCTCTCCTCTAGGCGGCCCCGCTCCCTTACTCGGCCGTCTCCGGCTGCTCATGCGCAGGCTAAGCGGTGGATGTAATTGGCTGTGGGTGAGGGCGCGCCAAGCCCGCATGTGCCACCTGGTAGTGCCCTGGGGAAGATCCCGGGCGCAGAGTTTCCTTCCCGGGTGCCTCCGGGGCCCAAGGCCTGCCGGCATCCTCGTGTCTGCAGGCCCGGGGCCGGCGACGGCTGTTCCTTCCGTTCGGCCGCGGCCCGATGGAAGAGCCTCCCGGGAAACCTCTCAGCTATGAGGAAAAGGAAAAGGTGCCGGGGTGTGAGGGAAGGGCTGAGTCGGAACTCTGATCCCTTGCGCAGGCTTTAGGCGTGTGTTTGTTTCCTCTGCCGTCCCGGGTAGGCAGTGATCTCTGACCTCTGGACGCAGCGGGGGTGAACGTATGGATGTAAGAATGCTGAGCTCACGTGGTGGCATTTAAAGAACAAATTGTCTTACAGCAGTAATGCCTAAATACGTACGAAATGTAAAACTGGATAAAGCCAAAGTCCCCTTTGACATCCTCTTCTCTCCCACACTTTCTCACCCTTGGCTTCTCCCACCCACTCCCTTAGGGAAATCTCTGAACAGCCGGTGCTTCGGATCTTTTCGTGTGTGTAATGGACGGAGGGGGTGGGGGGAATTGGAGGGGTGTGATTTATTCCCTGGCCACCAAAAAGTGATGTGTATCTTTTTGTTCATAAATGGTATGATCTGAATGGTTCTACAACGTCCTTTTTACTTATCCGTGTTTCATCCATGTCGATACATGTTAATCTGGCTTCTGTGTAGTGTTATGTATTAACGGAAGTGCATTCTTGGCTTTAGACATTACTCTGCTGAGAGACTTTGAGGTTGTTTCCAGATTTTGCTTCTACTATAGATGCTCTGACCGACCGTCCTTATTCATGCCATCTTGTGCTAGTGCTGATGATGTTAATTCGAATGTATCTTGTGCTGGCTGTTTGAGGCGTTGTGCTAAACTCTTCATTCATATTAACTCATCAGTCTTCTTAGTTTACCTTCCCGTGGGGAGTGAGATAGGTCATTTCCAAGTCAACAAAATAATTCTCAGATGATGATAAGGGTGGTGATAAAGAGGACCCTGTGAGAAGCAGTCTAGCACAGAGGTTAAGAGCACAGATCCTAGGGATGCCTGGGTGGCTCAACTGGTTAAGTGTTGGACTCTTGGTTTCCGCTCAGGTCATCATCTAATGGTTTGTGGATTCAAGCCCTGCCTCCAGCTCTGTGATGAAGCACGGGGCCTGCTTGGGATTCTCTTTCTCTCCCTCTCTCTCTCTCTCTCTGCCCTTCCCCGTTCTTGCTCTTTCTCTGTCTCTCTCAAAATAAATAAATAAACTTAAAAAAGAGCACAGATTCTAGAATTCAACTGGATGGTTTTGGATCATACCATTTATAAACTGTGTGATCTTGGGTGAATTGCTTTCCCTTAGATCTTTTTTTTTTTTTTTAATTTATTTATTTTAAGAGAGAGAGAGAGCAGGAGTGGGGTAGGGGCAGAGAGAGAGGGAGAAAGAACTCCAAGCAGGCTCCATCCACACCGTCAGTGCAGAGCCCGACGCGGGGCTGGAACTCACGAACTGTGAGATGATGACCTGGGCCAAGATCAAGAGTCATGCTTAACCGACTGAACTACACACATGCCCCTCTCTTGGATCTTCTTAAAGCCAGCTCCTTCCTCCTTCAGGTTTGGGCTCCAATGTGCCCCTTTCTTGGATCTTCTTAAAGCCAGCTTCTTCTTCCTTCAGGTTTGGGCTCAAATGGTAGTCCTCAGAAATGCCTCTCTGGCCACGCTACCTAAAGTAGATCAGGCAGAGGCGCCTGGGTGGCTCAGTCGGTTAAGCGTCCGACTTCAGCTCAGGTCATGATCTCACGGTTCGTGGGTTCGAGCCCCGCGTCGGGCTCTGTGCTGATAGCTCAGAGCCTGGAGCCTGCTTCGGATTCTGTGTCTCCCTCTCTCTCTGCCCCTCCCCTGTTCATGCTCTGTCTCTCTCTGTCTCAAAAATAATAAAAAAAAAAACATTAAAAATTAAAAAAAAAAAAGTAGATCAGGCACTCTCACATCTCCCTGTTGATCTGGGTACTGATTACCATGTGATACATCTTATCTGTGTATGCGTTTTTTTGTTAATTATCTGCATCCCTCATTCTGCCTAAGCTTGACCACTCTATCTTTAGCGCCTGAAACAATAACTGACACACAGTGTTTATACCTGACAAGAGATGCATTTGTTGATTGAGTGTCTGAGGATGCCAGCTCCTGCTGCCAGGGATCTCACAGTGAGAAGGGGGAACAGAAGTAAACAGACAGCATAGTGGATATAATAAGTACTGTGATAAAGGAAGCACAGCAGAGAGGTGGCATGTCTAACCTTGATTTCGGGAAGGACCTAGAAGTCTACCCAAGGGAAGTAAAATTAAGTTGAGGCTTGAGGAATCAGAAGGACTTAGCAAAATGAGTTGGGGAGGAAATGCTTCAGGTGGTGGGAACAGTTTATGTAAAGGTGCTAAGATACTGGAAAGCTTGGTGCTTTGTGAGAAGTGAAAGTAGTGTGGGTGCCTGCTACTCCTCCGCCGTCTGCTGCTGAGGGACCTTCTAAGCCCTGCACACTCGGGTCTGATAGACACTGTGTCCCTTCCCTCTGACTCTTTCTTTCCACCTGCTCAGCATTGTTTGCTGTTTTTCTTCTTCCAGTTGAAGGAAAAGTTAGCATTCTTGAAAAGGGAATACAGCAAGACGCTGGCCCGCCTCCAGGTAAGTGAATCTTATTCTCTCAAATTGAGGTATCACAGTATGAACTATATACAAACAATTCTTCCTAATAATAAAGCTTTAAGATAAACCTTCTTTGTCTTAAATTTGTTCCGTAAGCTGTTTTTGTTTTCTCTAGCGTGCCCAAAGAGCTGAGAAGGTTAAGAATTCTGTTAAGAAAACAGCAGAAGAACATGATTGCTTGTTCCAGCAGGACATTTCACCACAGCTAAACCACTCAGGTGAAGCTAGCCCGTTTACTTATGCTTGCTTTATTATTCATTTTCCGGGTATATTTGGTTGTGGTTCTTTTTCTCACAGCCAGAAGATAAAGACTAGCCATAGACTCTTTTTAAAGAGTATGTATAATTCACTGGTTCTTTGTGTACTCACAAGACTATGCAACCCTCATCACCGTCTAATTCCAGCATGTTTTCACCATCCCCAAAAGAAGCCTTGCAGCCATCCTACCCATAACCCCTGGCAACCACGAATCTACTTTCTCTGTGGATTTACCTATTCTGGGCATTTCATATGAATGGAGGCATACACTATGTGACCTTTTGTGATTGACTTCTTCCACTTAGCGTGATGTTTCCAGCAGTCATGCCTCCATACACACATCCAAGCATGCGTCAGCACTTCACTCCTTTGTGCAGCTGAGTCCTATTCCATTGGATAGATGATGTGCCATGATTCATGTATCCATTCATCAGTTGATGGATATATGGGTTGTTTCTATTTTCTGCTTATTATGAATTTTGGCTATTCTGCTATGAACATTCATCTGCAAGTGTTTGTATAGATGTATTTTTTCAGTTCTTTTGGGTACATACTTAGGAACGGAATTGTGGGGTCATATGGTAATTCTCTGTTTAACTTTTTGAGAAACTGCCAAACTCTTTTCTACAACATCAGTACCATTTTACATTCCCACCATGATGCACAAGGATTCCTGTTTCTACACATCCTCACCAACATTTGTCATTTTCTGTTTTTGTTTTTTTTTTTTTTTAATTTTTTAACGTTTATTTATTTTTGAGAAGAGAGAGACAGAGCATGAGCAGGGGAGGAGAGAGAAAGAGGGAGACACAGAATCTGAAACAGGCTCCAGGCTCTGAGCTGTCAGCACAGAGCCCAACGCGGGGCTCAAACCCACGAACTGTGAGATCATGACCTGAGCCGAAGTCGGACACCTAACAGACTGAGCCACCCAGGCGCCCCCATTTTCTGTTTTTAAAATTATAACCATCCTGGTGGGTGTGAAGTGGTATCTCATGGTGGTTTGGATTTGTGTTTCCTAGTGACTAATGATATGGAACATCTTATGGCTTGTTGGCCATTTGTACATTTTCTTCAGAGAAGTATCTACTCAAGTCCTTTGCCAATATTTTAATTAGGTTATATGTCTTTTTGTTCAATTATAACTGTTCTTAATATATCCTAGCTATTAGATGCTTATCAGATGCATATTTCATAAATTTTCTCCCATCTGTAATCAATGAACTGGTTTTTTTTTTTGTTTTTTTTTTTTGGTTGAATTGTTTAGTTGATCTTTTCCCTTTCAACTTTTAGAAATTATATTTATTGTGTAAATATTGGAAAGGTTTTTTTTTTTTTTTTTGATTAAGCACTTCTATATGTAGAGAGGAAAAAAAATCTAGCTGGAAGTATTCTAAAAGAACAATGGTCATTACTCATGTTAATAGGTAATTTATAATCATAAAATTGGAGGCTATTGAAATAGAAAGGTGGTATTAAAATCACTTAGGGGCACCTGGGTGGCTCAGTTGGTTAAGCATCTGACTTTGGCCCAGGTCATGATCTCATGGCTCATGAGCTCAAGCCCTGTGTCGGGCTCTGCATTGGCAGTGCAGAGCCTGCTTGGGATTCTCTCTCTCTCCCTCTCACTCTGCTCCTCCTTCGCTCGCTCTCTCTGTCTCTCAAAATAAATTAACTTCAAAAAAAATTTTTTTTAATTAATAAGAAAAATATTAATTATATATTTTTTTCTCCTCAGAATCTAAAAATAAAGTATCTCCTTGTGAGACATTACAAATCAGCACCCATCTGGATGAAGAAACTGGAGAAAAGACACCTATCACACTTGGCATTGAGCCTGAGTCCTTCAACCTTGGACATGGCCCCGTGGAACAATTACATATACAAAGTGATATCCAAGAACATTTTCCCTACCAGGTCAGTGGTCCTAGTGGTGAGAAAAGGCAGAGTAAGTTGCCAGAGAGAAGAAAGCAGCAGCAGAGAACATTAACTTCACAAGCGAGAGAATCTTTCTTTGACACGGATTCACTCATACTCTCTGGAAAAAGACTAAAAGAACTGGAAGAAATCAATAGAGAGAATCCTAGAACACCTGTAACTAGAAGAACTTACCTTTCAAGTTCTACGTGTGACATTCTGGATTCTCCAGCACCAGTGACAGAAACTAACGTAAGGGGTGTATTAACTCCACCAACTGCCAAACCACAAAGAGTTGTTGATGCACTCGTAAGAGGAAATCATTTCCCCACAGTGTCTACACTTGCTTCATTTACTCCATCAAATAACAGTAGTGGTCAGCACCTTGAACATAAGCCTCCTAAAGGCGACTGTGAACTCATTACTCATGGTTTAAAAAACATTATCCCTGCTTCACCTGTAAACCTAGAGGCACAAGACCAAAAAATGACTGTCTCTACAGATAACCCAGAAGTAAATAAAGCTGTAAGTGCAAGTGGCCAGCTGCCTAGAAGTCCTGACTTAGAGACAGATAATTTGTGCTCTGTGAATGAATTCGCTTACAATAACTTATCAGCAAATGGAAACCAAAATTTAAAAGGACAGAATCACACAGAGGAGTGTTTAAAATCTCCCCATAACACTCTTGATGATAGAAATGAAAGTCCTCAGGAAAAAGAGGTTGTAAGTCAATCTAAGAGTCTTAGCCCAGAAGTAATCTCTCCTGCTTCTGCAGAAAATCAAACACATTCTTGCACAATGCTTGAAGGCCTTCCATTTCCCGCAGAATATTATGTTAGAACAACACGACGCATGTCAAGTTACCAGAGAAAAGTAGCCCTGGAAGTTGTAATTCAAAATCATTTGGGTGTCAAAAAGAAAGGGTATAAAAATAAAAGTAAGGAGGCAACTAAAAATTTAAACCTTCCCAGTGAAGAAACTGACCAGAGTGGAATTAGGACCTCTGACACATGCACAAGACAACCAAGTTCAGGAAATCCTCAGAAACGTCCCTCTTTAACTGAAGTCAACTCTCCCACTGGGCCCCCTAAAGATAACCTTTCCAGGAAGGCAGTTATCCAGCCATCTGGTAGGAGACACGGAAGAAAAACAAAGTCAATCTGCACCCCTGTATTAGATGATGGTGAACTCCTTTTGCCAACTTTTGGCACATCAGGTGTTAATAGATCCAAGGAAGAGGTTGCCTTGAACAAAGAGCAGAATGGAAAGGCAATTATTCATGGTAAGAAGAGAATTAAAGGTAAATCTAAGTGCGGTTGATGATGATGATGATGATGATGATGATGATGATAGCCAACACTTAATTGTGTCCCTGGTATTTTCTAAATGTTGTGCGAACACTAACTCCTTGCATCATCACAGCAACCCTACATGAGGCAGAGTCTGTTTTTACCCTCGGTTTACAGACGAGGAAACTTAAGGCACAAGGAGATTAAAGTGACTTTAATTCATGAAAGTGGATTTAATTCATTAAAATTACAGAGCCGGGATTCAGACCTGGCTCTGTGATGCCAGAATTCACTAATGTGATTGAAAAGTTGACATGGAAAAGGACAATGTATGAGATTTTCATCTAAAATTAGTATCTATTCAGGTACAACACAATCTTTATTCCTAGAGGGAAGTTTTATAACCTACAGAGAAAGTGTTTTTGAAGTGAAATGAAATGTGTGTCCGAGTAGGAGTCCTTTGACAAACTTTCTTAGGAATGACTGAGTAATAAAATGCAATACATCCAACCAACTTTTTTGGGGTAAAATATCAAATATAGCATCTTGGGAGATCTGTGGGATACAAAATATTGGAGAACAACAAGTGACATAATTTACACTTTTTTATTCATTTCCTCAGGAATTAATCACATATGATACACTGAGCAAAACAACTAGATAATTCACTCTGGTTCTATAGTAGACATCAGCAAACTTTCTGTAAAGGGCCAAATAGTATGTCTTTGTGCTCAGTCATAGCTAGTCAAGTATAGTGGCAGAGTAGCCACAGACAGTATATAATGTGTTCCAGTAAAACTTTATTTACAAAAACAGGCAGCCAACTGCTCTATATCATTGGACACAGGTTCTGGTCTATGAGCTATAATTAATTAAATACTTAATTTATTTTTAATTAGTTAAAAACCTGTAATCATTATGACTTTTTTATTGTCCTCTTTAAGCCAACAAGAATACAAAGCAATCAGAAAGTAGGGCAATCTAGTAATAATCTAGAAATATCTTTTTGTATGCTTTGAAATACTTTGCTGTGAATTTAGTAACCTGCTGCTACATTAAACATTTTTTTCTCAGGGTGCCTGGGTGGTTTAGTCGGTTAAGCATCCGACTTTGGCTCAGGTCATGATCTCATGGTTTGTGGGTTTGAGCCCCGCATCGGGCTCTGTGCTGACAGCTCAGAGCCTGGAGCCTGTTTCAGATTCTGTGTCTCCTCTCTCTGACCCTCCCGTTTGTCCTCTCTCTCTCTCTTTCTCTCTCTAAAGTAAAAAATAAACATTACATTTTTTTTTCTTGAGGTGATCTTAACATAAAATGGACCATTTTGAATCAAGTGAACGATGCACTGGCATTTAGTACATTCTTGTGCCACCATGCCCTCTACCTAGTTCCAAAACATGTTCATCACTCCAGAAGGACACCTCATGCCCATTAAGCAGTTGCTCTCTATTTCCTTTCCACCCTAGTGCCTGGCAACCACCACTCTATATTCTCTCTCTGTGAGTTTACTTGTTTTGGATATTTCATATTAAAGGAATTATACACTATGTGACTTTTTGTGTCTGGCTGCTTTCACTTAGCTGATTTTTGAGATTCATCCACATCACAGCATGTATCTATACTTTGTCCTTTTTTATGGCTGAATAATATTCCCTAAGTATGTGCCACAGTTTATTCATTTATAAGTTGGTGGAGACAGCTTTCCCCATCCCAGGCACTACTCCAGCCTTTGGCTCCCAAACATGCTGTGAAAAAGTGTCTGCAGAGGTGGTTGGGCCAACTGGGTCTACATGTTGAATGGTATAGAATTCCAGCTGCCTTGAGTGTAGTAAATTACTGGGGTGCTTGGATGGCTCAGTTGGTTAAGCATCTGCCTTCAGGTTATGATATCACGGTTCATGGGTTCAAGACCCCCATCAAGGTCTGTGCTGACAACTCAGAGCCTGGAGCCTACTTCAGATTCTGTGTCTCCCTCTCTGTCTCTCTGCCCCTCCCTGGTGGCACTCTGTCTCTCAAAAATAGGTAAACATTTTTTTAAATAGTAAATTACTCTGCTTGAAAGGGAGACTTATGTTTCCTTCAGTGAGAAGGGCCAGAGTTTTGTAGACTGTGTTCTGGTAGTCTGTTGGAATCATAGTTTTAGAGCAGAAAGGACTTAAGAGATTCTTAGTCCAGTTCCCGTATGAGAGACAAGGGAAAATGAAGTGAATTGGCTTGCCTAAGATCCTGGCAGATGAGTGGCAGAGCAGGGACTAGACCCTGGTCTTCTTCCAGCTAGTGTCATCAGCACCATGCTGTTTTTGATGCTACAAAAGGAGAACTGCTAGTTAACCAACCTGTGGCTGATTCTTGAACCGCTCATAGGTTTCAGAGTCATGGGTGGGAAGAGAACAAGCATTTTGCACTGTCTTGGAGTTCAGAAGCTCACTTTTGGTTGGGTATTGGATGTTTGCTGTTACCGCTGTTCCTTTCTATTTTAGGGAAGAAAGATGATCGTCAAAAAGAGGACTCCCTTTCTTCCAGAAATAATGCTTATTTGGCTTTGGATTCTGCTGCATTCAGGACTTCATTTCCTAAGAATGAGATGCTAAGTTTAAAGCAACTGTCCTCTGTTCTCAAAACCACAGATTTTCAGTTACCTGATGAAGACTTTGGACCTCTTAAGCTTAAGAAACTGAAGTCCCAATCAGAAAAATCAGTGGAGCCTTTTGTATCAAAAATGTATGGGGATAAGCTCCTTAAGGAGGGAAACTGTGTTGTTTTGGAAGAAATGACACCTACACAAATTGATATTGAAATGGAGGACTTGGAAGAGGAAATTCTTGTTCTCCCAGGAAAAGCACAACCTAAAACACCAAACCCAACAAGCCAGCCTCAGAAGAAGGGCCTTTCTTCATCCATAGTACTTTTCACTCCTTTTAATACCGTCACCCCTGAGGATAATGACAGACTGACGGCAGATGTGTGTTCGCCCGCCTTCCCCATCCTAGGCACTACTCCAGCTTTCAGCTCCCAAGCACGCTGTGAAAGAGTGTCCACGGAGGTGGTTGGATCAACTTGCTCTGTACCCCAACTTCCTCACTTGAAAGACTATGATCGGAAGCAAGGCGACGGTTGGGCCAGCCCCTCAAAATCAGATGGCAGCCCGGTTGTGTCAGGTCGGGAAGGACAGCCTTCCTGTGACAGTGATTCTGGTTCCCAAGCAAAACTTCTTCCCACTGAGTCAGTCACTTCCGAAGAAAATCAGCTGTGTGGAAATATGCACGTGGAGTCGTGGAAACAGTCCACTGAGCAGGTACGGTCCACCCATGGTAAGATTTTTCTATGACGGAATGAAAGATCTTAGCGAATATGGGCAGCATGACTTTCTTACACATTGGCTCCTCAGTGTTTAGGAATGGTTGAATGTGCTTCTTTGTTATGATTTCACTGTAACCATTAAGTTCAGTTGGGGGAAATTTAAGGTTAATATAAAATGTGTTTTTAAATATGGGGGATCCTATTCCCTTTGTCATCAAGGAAGCATTTGCATATAGGGCTTTGCTGCTGTTATCAGAGGAAATCACACATATTGAGTAGACACGATGAAGGAGCAGGGTGGGCAGACGTCATCTATAAAGCATAGATTAACAGTGTGACTTTTATTTTCACAGACTGAAGTAGCAGACCTTCCTGCTTGTAATGGCTTAATCCCAGGCCACCTACAATTGGTTTCGAAGTTAAAGGTCAGAAGACCGTTCCCTGTTGGTGTGTCGTGTGTCTTACATGTAAAAAATTTAATGAATTCATAGGAAAATTAGGATGAATTTGACTGTATCTTCGCATTCTTAATTTAGCACTGTTAAACAAACTTGGCGAAACAGATTCAGAAAAAACCTGTAAACTCTTTGTTTTTCACAATACTTAGCTGTATTTATATCTTGAGATCTTCTCCAGAAGAAGTTTATATGTCAAGCTATTGCCAAGAACAACTTAAACTAACTCAACTTTGTGTCTAAATGTAAATCAGGCATCTTGACAGAGAGAAAGTCATTCATGATCCTCCTTTCCAAATGCTGTAATGTTTCTAGAAGGATCACTTGTGATTTATGAGAAAATAGGTAGTGGTTCCAGATTATAATGAATGGTTAATCTTTCATAGGCTATGTGGGGTGTGTGTGTGTGTGTGTGTGTGTGTGTGTGTGTGTGTGTGTGTAACTCTGAGAAATGTAAGTTACAATATTCTGTTAATGATATGTTAGTAAATCCAGAGAAGTGGATTGGACCTGTGTCCTAGTTAACTCTTTATCTGTAGTGCATGATACAGAGCAGGGTTTCTCAATCTGAGCAATCTGGACATTTGGGGCTGGATAATTCTTTATTGCAGGGGCAGTCCTGTGCATTGTAGGACATTTAGCAGCAGCCCTGCCTTATCTATAGAGCCACTAGCACCCCCATCCCGAGTTATGATAACCAAAAATGTCTGCAGGTATGGCTAGATACCCACCAGGGAAAGTTTGTGAAATTCCCCCCAGGTGAGAACAACTGGTGTAAAAGAAAGAGATTCAAACCCACGTAAACTCTTTCTGCCAACTACTAGTGTGTGACCTGGGGCAAATTATTTACCCTCTGAGTTCCAGATTCCTTTAGTATGAAAGATACATAGTAATAGTCATTTCAAAGTTATTCTTGAGTCCATTTGAATAACTTGGTTTCTTAAAGAATCAACCATTTCATTTGTATTTTCTAATTTGTAGGTAAAAAGTTATTTATTATTCTAGTAGTTTTTTTGTCTGTGTATATTTGGTTAAACCTCTCTCCCAATTCCCCATTTTCTAAAGTACTTTTTTTCCTGCATCAAACTTAAGAGATTTTCCATTCTGTTGGTCTACAATGCTTTTGGTTGTATTGGTTGTTAGTTTTTTTGTTTCCTATTTCGTTTGTTTCTGTTTTTATCCTTAATAATTCTTTTCTTTTTCATTGTGCTTAATTTCATTGTTGTTTCACTACCTTTTTGAGCTGTTTTCTTACTTTATTTTTATTTTTCTTCTTTTCTGATAAATGCCTTTATGATTGTAAATTTCTTTTGGAAATACCACTTTGCCATGCTCTGTGTGTTTGGATACACAGTGCTCTCCTTGCTCATGTGGAAATACAGTGGACTCTTGAACGACATGGGTTTGAACTGCAAAAGCCCACTTACATGCAGATCTTTTTTCAGTAAACACATTAGAATTCTTTTACAGAATTGTAATGTATATTCTCTTCCTTATGATTTTCTTTTTTTTTATTTTAAGTTTATTTTGAGAGAGAGAGAAAAAGAGAAAAGCACAGGTGGGGGAGGGGCAGAGAGAGGAAGAGAGAGAGAATCCTAAGCAGACTCTGCATTGCCAGCACAGAGCCTGACGTGAGGCTCAACCTCATGAGATCATGGCCTGAACCAAAATCAAGAGTCAGACGCCTAACCCACTAAGCCACCCAGGCGCCCCATCTTATGATTTTCTTTTTTTTTTTTTTTAATTTTTTTTTTCAACGTTCATTTATTTTTGGGACACAGAGAGACAGAGCATGAACAGGGGAGGGGCAGAGAGAGAGGGAGACACAGAATCGGAACCAGGCTCCAGGCTCTGAGCCATCAGCCCAGAGCCTGACGCGGGGCTTGAACTCACGGACCGCGAGATCGTGACCTGGCTGAAGTCGGACGCTTAACCGACTGCGCCACCCAGGCGCCCCCTTATGATTTTCTTAATAGCGTTTTCTTTTCTCTATACTTTATTATATACAGTATATAATACATATAACACACGAATATGTGTTGATTGTTTCCATTATCAGTAATGCTTCCTTCCAATAGTATGCTATTAATGTAGTTAAGTTTTGGGGAAATCAAAAGTTATATGCAGATTTTTGACTACGCGGGAAGTTGGTGCCCTTAACCCCCACGTTGTTTCATTTTTATTCCCTCTTGAACCCGTGGGTGGTTCATCAGGATGTTTCATTTCCAAATGGGCAAGTTCTTATGGGCCATGTTTTGTGATTAAATCTGAATCTGTTCCATTCTGGAGCTACACATTTTTAGATCCATCATGATATAAGTGTGTGGGGGCAATTTTTTTAGTTATATAAGACTCACAAAGCTTGCTTGCTTGCTTTCTTTCTTTCTTTCTTTCTTTCTTTCCTTTTAACATTTTATTTATTTTGGGGGCTCCTGGGTGACTCAGGTCAGCTAAGCGTCTGACTTTGGCTCAAGTCATGATCTCACAGTTCGTGGTTTCGAGCCCCACGTCAGGCTCTGTGCTGACAGCTCAGAGCCTGGAGCCTGCTTCGGATTCTGTGTCTCCCTATCTCTCTCCCCTCCCTTGCTTGCGCTCTTTCTCTCTCTCTCTCTCTCAAAAATAAATAAACATTAAAAAAAAATTTTTTTTAAGATTTTATTTTTATAAATTTTTTAACGTTTATTTTTGAGAAAGAGAGAGTGCGCACGCAAGAAGGGGAGGGGCAGAGAAAGAAAGAGACACGGAATCCGAAGCAGGCTCTAGGCTCCGAATTGTCAACACAGAGCCCGATGTAGGGCTTGAACTCATGAGCCGTGAGATCATGACCTGAGCCAAAGTTGGGTGCTTAACCAACTGAGCCATGCATGTGCCCCCTAAGATTTTACTTTTAAGTAATCTCTCCACCCAATGTGGGGCTCAAACTCACAACCCCAAAATCGGGGGTCACTTGCTCCACCAACTAAGCCAGCTTTGACCTGTATAAAACTTTAATTACATTTACTTAGTATTTTATTTAATCCTTGGACCCAGCACTTTTCATGTTCATATTCTATATTCATATTCTATTCATAAAACAGACCCCAAGTGGGGCGCCTCAGAGGCTCAGTCGGTTGAGCATCCAACTTTGGCTCAGGTCATGATCTCACCGCTTGTGAGTTCGAGCCCTGCATCAGGCTGTGTGCTGACAGCTCAGAGCCTAGAGCCTGCTTCAGATTCTGTGTCTCCCTCTCTCTCTGCCCCTCCCCCGCTATGCTCTGTCTCTCTTTGTCTCTCAAAAATAAATAAACATGAAAAACAAACAAACAGGGGCGCCTGGGTGGCGCAGTCGGTTAAGCGTCCGACTTCAGCCAGGTCACGATCTCGCGGTCCGTGAGTTCGAGCCCCGCGTCAGGCTCTGGGCTGATGGCTCAGAGCCTGGAGCCTGTTTCCGATTCTGTGTCTCCCTCTCTCTCTGCCCCTCCCCCGTTCATGCTCTGTCTCTCTCTATCCCAAAAATAAATAAACGTTGAAAAAAATTTTTTAAAAACAAACAAACAAAAACAGACCCCCAAGTATCCCTTTAACATAAGTGTTGTTGCTATTTATTTCAGAATCCTTCTGGTTCCTGTTCTGTGGACGTGAGTGCCATGTGGTGGGAAATAGCCGGTTTCAAAGAGCCATGTATCATAACTGCCTGTGAATACGTAGTTTCTCTTTGGAAACCTCTAGATACTTGGCAGTGGGAAAAACTTTATTCCTGGCACTTTACAGAGGTAAGTCAGAATCTTAGAGCTGGGAGAGGTCTTTGCAATTATTTACGTGGTAATATAGATGGGCAGCTTACCAAGAATGGGACCTACAACCATGTAAGGCAGAACAGAGGGATCAGTAATTTTTTCCAACATTTCATTATGCAGATTGTCAAACATAGAGACAAGTTGTACAGTGAGTACCCATATGCCTACCATCTGGATTCTACAGTTAACGTTGTGCTCTGGTTTGCTTTATCGCCTGTTTTTCGGAAAATGGATTTTTATACTAGATATGTTGGAGAAGCTTAGAATTTCGTGTCTTTTCTGACTTCTAAATTTGCTGATACTTGTATTCCTTACCCCTCACCAAAACATTTTTCTTGCTTCCTTTCTTAATATATTTTCTTCTAGTCTTTGTCCACCTTCATATGTATCTTACGTGCTTGCAGTCCTAATGTGCTTAAAATTTTTAAATTTGCCTTTTCTCGCTTTATACATTTTTCCTTGTTTCTACATAATTCTTTTTTTTTTTAATTTTAATTTTAAAAAAGTTTTAATGGTTATTTATTTTAGGGAGAGACAGAGTACAAGTTGGGGGCTCCAGAGAGAGAGGGAGACACAGAGTCTGAAGCAGGCTCCAGGCTCAGCTGTTAGCACAGGGCCCAAGGCGGAAGCTTGAACTCATAAACTGTGAGATCATGACCTGAGCCACCCAGGCACCCCTCTACATATTCTTCATACTTTATTTTGAGTTTTATTTATTTCTCCACCTTTACTGAAGTAATATTGACAAAATTGTAATATATTTAAGGTGTACACTGTGATGATTTGACATATTATATATAGAAAGCACTCCCACAACAATCGAGTTCATTAACATGCATCAGCTCACATAGTTTTTGTTTGTTTGTTTGTTTGTTTGTTTGTTTGTTTGTTTTTGGCGAGAACATTTATGATCTACTCTTAGCAAATTTCATTCTTGTTCTTTGGTATATCCATAGCTTTTAGCACTGTGCTTTGTATAGTGGTGGTCAATAAATATTTATTTATGTGAATAAACTTATTTTAAATGACTGCATGATGTTCCCTTTGTCCACTTCTGCCAGAATTTATTTAAATTTTCCTTTATTTTTAGAACTGTAGATTTCATTAAGTAAGTGCTGCTATATACACGGTTCTGCCTATAACTTATTTGGATTTGCAGCTTATAAAAAGAGGGTGTTTGCTAAACTTTTGTTCAGTGTTTGAAACTATCCTGGTACAGTGAGAATAGAAGGGAATGTGACAGATTTTGGAAAATTTAGATTAATTAAAAATTAAACAACCAGGGGCACCTGGGTGGCTCAGTCGGTTAAGTGTCTGACTTTGGCTCAGATCATGATCTTGTGGTTCATGAGTTCGAGCCCCGTGTTGGAATCTGTGCTGACAGCTCAGAGCCTGGAGCCTGTTTCAGATTCTGTGTCTCCCTCTCTCTCTACTTCTCCCCTGCTCACACTCTGTCTCTCAAAAGTAAATAAATTTAAAAAAATTTTTAAATAATAAACTATATTGTTAAAAAAAAATGAAACAACCAAATTCAATTTTTGGCTATTTTTGTTTTATCTAGGTTCCAGTGTTACAGATAGTTCCAGTGCCTGATGTTTGTAACCTCGTATGCGTGGCTTTGGGAAATTTGGAAATCAGGGAAATCAGGTATGTAACTCTCAAGGAGTAATTTTTTTCTTTCCCTCATCTTTGTCTCTGTCAGCTTGTTTTGAGTGCAAGTTATAACCTAGGCTTGAATCTTGAAAGAATCTAAATTTAGATCAAGAGCTATTTGTTTCAAAAAAACACCTAGTGATAGAATTATATCCCTGACTCAAGTTTCCGTTTAAAATTGGACCTTAGGAGGGGTGCCTGGGTGGCTCAGTTGGTTAAGTGTCTGAGCTCGGCCCAGGTCATGATCTCACGGTTCGTGAGTTCGAGCCTCGTGTCGGTCTCTGTGCTGACAGCTCAGAGCCTGGAGCCTGCTTCAGATTCTGTGTCTCAGTCTCTCTCTGCCCCTCCCCCACTTGCAATCTGTCTCTCTCTCTCAGACACAAAAATAAATAAACATTTAAAAAATTAAAAAAACAAATTGAACCTTAGGGGCACCTGGGTGGTTCATTCAGTTAAGCGTCCGTCTGACTCTTGATCTCGGCTCAGGTCATGATCTCACAGTTTGTGGGTTTGAGCCTTGCACCAGGCTCTGCAGTCACAGCACAGAGCCTGCTTGGGATTCTCCATCTCCCTCTCTCTCTGCCCCTTCCTTGCATGCTTTCTCTCAAAAATAAATAAATAAACATTAAAATAAATAAATAAAGGTGTTTTTTTTTTTTTAAACGTTTATTTATTATTGAGAGACAGTGAGAGACAGAGCATGAACATGGGAGGGGCAGAGAGAGGAGGAGACACGGAATCCGGAGCAGGCTCCAGGCTCTGAGCTGTCAGCACAGAGCCTGATGCAGGGCTCAAACCCACAAACCGCGAGACCATGACCTGAGCCAAAGTCAGATGCTTAACTGACTGAGCCACACAGACACCCCTAGTCCTTTCATATTAAAGGCTAATTCCTAGAGGTGCCTGGGTAGCTCAGTTGGTTAAGCGTCTGACTCTTGATTTTTGGCTTGGGTCATGATCTCACAGTTTTTGGGTTCGAGTCCTGCATTGGGCACTTTGCTGGCAGTGTGGACAGAGACTGCTTGGATTATTGGTCTCCCTCTTTCTCTGCCCCTTCTCTGTGTGCACACACACTCTCTTTCTCAAAAATAAATAAAAAGTGCTCACTTTGGCAGCACATATGCTAAAAAAATAAATAAATAATTTAAAAAAATTTTTTAGTGTTTATTTATTTTTAGGGAGACAGAGTGAGAGCAGGGGAGGGGCAGAGAGAGAGAGGGAGTCACAGATTCCAAAGCAGACTCCAGGCTCTGAGTGTCAGCACAGAGCCCAATGTGGGGCTCAAACTCATGAACCGTGAGTTCATGACCTGAGCCGAAGTCAGATGCTTAACCCACTGAGCCACCCAGGCACCCCCTCAAAAGTAAATATTTGAAAATAAAAAAAAAAAAAAGGCTTACTCTTCTCCAATTTTCTTTTATACTTGGTTTAGATCATTACTTTGTTCCTCTGATGGTGGATGTGAAAAGCAAGTGCTACTGAGTTCTGGAAATATAAAAGCTGTGCTTGGCCTGACAGAGAGGAGGCTAGTCAGTAGCAGTGGGACCCTTTGTGACCAACGAGTAGAAATCATGACATTTGCAGAAGATGGAAGGTAAGATGGTTGATTTTCATTATTAAAGAATGCTTTTATCACAGGCTTTCAGAGAAGGTCAGATCACTAGCCTCTTGTTTTTCTGGGCTACAGGATCGTATGGCAGGGTCTGCCTCAACACTAGGCTGTTTCGTCGAAGTGGTTTAGAGAGGAGGAAGCTGGATGTAGCAGGGAGGAAGCCAGTGGAGTGGAGAGGCTCAGCAAACATAGTTTATTCTTTCTTCAGTCTTTGAAATCTCCATGTGCCCCTCAGATTTCACATGTGCCTCCAGATCCTAGACCCTTTTCTTGTTCTGCACTTGGTTTCCAGTCCTTAAATTACTGTTTAGGTGCTGACCACTTATAAACGTATATTTCTAGCTCTGAACCCAGCCTTTCGATCTGTGTGCCTATTTATTAGACATCTTGTGGGTATTTCAGATTCAGCATATTTCAAATGGAATTCATAACATTCTCTGTGTCTGTTACGCTTTATTGTGATTATTTACCTGTGTTTCGTAATAACAGAGGTCATGGACCTTCTTGTCTTATTTATTCATGACCTGTAGTAATCTTGGCAAGAGACAAATAATTGCTTGCTTAAATTAGCAAAGTATTAGTGGACATGAGAAGAAGCAGACAGATTTGAGAAAGAGGAGACTAAAATCATTAGGGCTTAGTGATTGAGTAGATAGAGAGGGAGGAGACAAGGATAACATCCAGGTTTCTACATTTGTCACCGGGGTAGACAGTGGTACAATTCACTTAGATAGGAATGCAGAAAGAAATACAAGGTTTAAAGAGAGAGGTGGCAAGTTTTTTGTTTTGTTTTGTCTTTTTGAGAGAGAAAGAGAGTGCATATGTCCAGGGGAGGGGCAGAGGGAGAGGAAAAGAGAGAATCTTAAGCAGGCCCCATGCCCAGCTTGGAGCTCCATGCAGGGTTCGATCTCATGACCATGAGATCATGACCTGAGCCGAGAGCATGACCTGAGCCGAAATAAAGAGTTGGACAAGATGCTTTACTGGGTCAGTTAGACACCCAGGCCCCCCTGGCAAGTTTAAATTTGGATATGATGAATTTGAGGTGCTTGCAAATATATCCAGGTAGAGAATATAAAAGTAGTGTATGTTTATTGTAGAAAGTTTTGAATACACATTTTCTAGTTGAAATTTTTTCTGATATCAGATTAGTGCACGTTATGCATAGCTCAGCAATATTTAGAAGGGCTGTTTAGAAACTACTTTGGTACAAAGTGCTAATTTTTAATACTGTTTTAAATGCAGAAGCAAAGAAAAACAATTTTTGATGTCCCCTGAAGAGACCGTACTAACTTTTGCTGAGGTGCAAGGGGTGCAGGAAGCTCTGCTTGGTACCACTGTAATGAACAACATTGTTATTTGGTAAGCTTTCTCTTGAGGGCCTCAGTTTCTTCTCTTATATGAGGGTATACCTCCAATTTCATGGGGTTAAGATTAGAGACTCTGTAAGTATGATTGTGTTTGTTTGTTTTTTCCTGTCAGATGACATATACTTGTCTCAACAAGAACATCATATTAATTCAGACATTCTGAAAAAAGATCAGTCTGAGTAGACTATTTCAAAGTAAATGAAATTTTACCATTGTCAAAAATATACAATTGTGCCTCCTTCTGGTTGATGGCTTTTATCAAACCAACTCTTTTTACCTCAGATAACTATAAACTCTGCACAAAGTATAAAGAACAACTATCTGAAGGCACTGGGGAATGAGAAAAAGAAGAAAGATACTGGAGAGTGGTCAGTAGGAAATAGTAGGCAAGTTCCTGTTCCTACAGCTTTTAGCCAGAGGGCAAGCCCTAGTCTGCACATGGGGGACTAAAAGCCTGAGAGAAAACCTTCTGGCCCTGACTTAAAGAACCAAAGGACAGAGTTCAGGGTGACCACAGCAGCTAGCAAGTGAGGAAGAGAAATCCCCATAAAGAGAGAGCTGAAGAATGAGCCTCAAATTCTGAGCTATAATCTTTACCTGGTAATCTGGCTAGCCTTTAAACTACATGTGTACAGGTCAGGCTTGAAGCAGCCCAGGTAAGGCAAAAAGAACTGAATTGGGTTTTCAGCATTTGGAATTTTGGGTAAGCCAAGTTAACTGTTTACTAGGGGAGGGGTGGGGGTGGTGGGAATCAATATTCTTTAGAGGAATCTAACAGAATCCAGAGTTTATGTGATGTGTCATTCATACTGTCTACAATCCAAAATTATAAAATATATCTGATTAGAGGAACCAGGTTAACAAATTTGTGATAGGGAAACCAGAGTCAAGGAGTCCCCAGCCACTTCTCTTTCCTTACCCTGGGGAGAACCTTACCCAGCCAAAGGTACTTTCAAGGTTAGTTTGTATTAAGACAATAAATTAAATTTTTTTTCCCCTCAGAAGCCCTCTCCTTTAACTGGTTCTGCCCTGTCCAACCCTAACTCTCTAGGAATAAGCCAGGAGAGCATGGTCCTTAAGAGAATCTTTGTCCCCTCCCCACCTGGGGGCCTCTGAAATATGACCATGTCCTAATCTACCAGGAGACTGTGTTTTCAGATGGCCCTACTGTCTAGAGCAGCAGGTTTCCACTTCTGGCATTAGCTCAGTGTTTGTACATGGAGGTCTAATTTGGGGACAATATTCCTTACCAAAGTTGTCTTATCTGTTCTTGCTGGTATTTCAGTAGTCTGGACCTTCATTATTTGGTTCTTGAACTATTAATATAATCTAGCAATCGGTCTCCTTGTCATCAATCAATATCCTACCTCCAGATCTTCTTTCATACTCTTCCTGTATTAACATTCTTCCTCCCAGCCCTTCCCTCCCCACAATGTTTGCTTTTCTTCAGCTTCCATTTCCCCGATGCCTTGGTACAAAAATTTCTCTCCAGCTAGTCCATACTCCTCAGCTCCCTGTTTTCTTCCCATCCTAAGAGTAATTTTTTTAGCATTTTATATATATAATGGATTGCAACAGAATTTGAGGTTGAGGAGGGACCTTATACTTAGCTTCAAAGTGTAAGTTCTAAGTTTAAGGGGTATCTTCAGTCCCATAGTTACTTTGAGCTCTGTTGTAATACCTCAACTTTCATTGACATTACCCTCTCTGAACGCATATTGCCTTTTTTTTTAAGTTTTTAAATATTGCCCTTAAATTTTTTT